CCACAAAGTGCCAGACCCCTCCATCTTTCCTGGTCCACCAGAATAGCAAGAGAGAGAATTGTTCAGCTTCCCACAAGCTCTTTTTGTGGTGCAGAGGGGAAGGAAAGGGTTTTGCAACAAACAACGTATATGGTTTGTGTCTCTGTAGAGTCATATATATTAATTTCTTTCCAATCAGTGTGGAGTTCACTGCTGACATCGATTGAAGCAGAACTGAATCAGTGCAGAAAACTTCATTCTAATTAATTTTGGATAGTGTACCTTGTGCCTTCTAGCCATAAGGAAAAGCGAGTTCATCTGCCCATGTTTCTTTTCCTTCTGAATTACTTTAGTGGGATATAAAGAAGCACATCATTTCCTATTTCAGCTTTTACAGTTACTTAAACTCGAGATTAAAAAAAAAAGAAAACCCAAGGAAATCTGTGCATACTTTATACCAATTGCAGGTAATTGTGATGAAAGATCACAGAAGACAAAAAAAGAGGCAACAGTATTGAAACCTGCCTACAAAACAGATCTCTTTGACGACCCTTGTTACATCAACACACAGTCCCTGCAGCCTGCAGCCTGCACAGCCCATGGTACAGCAGCAGCACAGAGCCAGGGGAGCCCTCTGCGCCAGCCCAGTAGGTCCCACTGCAATACCATGTCTGTCTAAGCCCTGAAAATAAGGGGCCTTGTCATCTGTGTGCAGGGAGAAAGGCTGGGTTTTCCCATAAGAGATACGGAAAAGGCGGGGGGAAGAAATCTATCCTGCTTGTTTGTTGTTTTTGCTTGTTAAATTCAAGAGAAAGGGGATTAAAGAGTAAAAATATTGACAGTAAATAAGCAGAGTAACCTTTCATCTTCTGTAGTCGATTGATGACAATATACAGAGTTCCACAAGTAATGATAAGCAAATCTTTAAGTTGAAACAAAACCTTGGGACAGTGGCATGCCTCAAGGAGGAGGGTTCTCCTGTATGCTCAAGGTCTTAACCACTTGAAGGTGGAAGTGACCTCAGATGGCTTTGCTTCACAGGCAGTAGCATGCAAGGCAAGGTCAAAGTGGGATCATTGTGACTGTCTTTTCTCAGTTCTTCCATAAGTGACCATTGAATTTCATCCAATAATTTCTAAATCAAACTGTTTGATCAGTAGTATCTATTAAATGTGTGTCAAATTAAAACTTGATTTATGGACTCAAAGTGGTGGATATCCATTAAATAACTATATAGTTGCTACTGATTGTCCTCATTATTGAAAAGACTTTATTAGCTTTGCCTTTTATGGTTTCCCACTGAGTGTTTTCTCTGTCAGAGTTGGCTCCACATGAGAAAGTGGACAAAGGACTGGGCAGAACTACAATAAACGAAATCTGTGACCATTGAGACATTTCCAACCTGGGGCTGTATCATGCTCTAAAAGGAACTGCCTATATCCTGAGGAGCCTTAGGTTGCACAATTCCATTGAAGAAGTGGTATCCTCTTATTTTCCTTAGAAGAACCCTGCCTGTGAATCATTTGCAGTCTGACTGGCTATATCCCAAACCACCCAGTTTTTTTAGTACATTCAGAAATTGTTCGTTTTTTCACAGCAAATGCATCATGCTGTAATCCTTCCCTTCTGGCTATGTTGGCTATGTTCTCTTACATTCCTGCACAGAGCTGGAGCCACTCAACATGACTCTCCCAATGATCTGTGACAATCTCTTCAGAGCTCGTTAAGGAAGAAGGAAAAACAAGATCTTAAAAAAAAAAGCTAAAAAGCCAACAAAAATCTTGTTTTTACAGAGAAGATTCGACTTTTTAACACGCTCAAAGAAATATAAACCCAAAACAGCACAGCATCAGAAAAATTCCTGGTTTTATTCCTTGTTGCCTAGCGACCCAAGGTTTTGCCATCTAAGGTAGGGGAGGAGATGGTGTGATAATTCTACCTAATGCACTGCAGGGCTTTGAGCATTCATGTGTGCATATTCTTACAGTCTGTAAGGTTGGTTTGACCACAGCTTCAAGACTGAATCGTTTGAATTTTTAAAAAGCTATAAAAATACTGTCTTGCATCCTTTTAGGATGAAGTTCTAGGTGAGGTGTCCAATACATTTCCCTTCAATTCATTTCAGAGTTACCCGAAGCTATTCAGCAGAGTGCCACGAGCAACACAGCTGGTCTCTGTGTTCTGCCACAAATAAAGCAACAGCTAAAGAATGAAGATTGTTACCATGGCAAATTAAACAGGAAAGCAGCAGAAAGCCTCTTAGTCAATGACGGGGATTTTCTGGTGCGAGAGAGCACAACGTCACCTGGGCAGTTTGTCCTCAGTGGACTTCAGGGAGGGCAAGCAAAGCATCTGCTCTTGGTGGATCCTGAAGGCAAGGTATGAATATTTCATACACTGAAATTTCAATGCTGCTAAGGTATTTCAATCAAAATGCACGGATGCATTCCAGGAAGTGGAACTGATTTGATTCCATCCAGGTTAATTTAAATGTAGCCAGTGGCTTCAGTAGGTTTGAGAGTTCAATTCAAGAACTTATAAGTGCTGAAGTACCACGGAAATAGAAGTGAGGTACTTAAATAGTGTTGTTAGTCCAGATGCTGATAATTAGTGTATACCCTTAACACAAATTTTGAGTTGATATTATATTACTAGAAAAATAACCCTAACCTTAAATAGTGAATTTCTGGATACAAAAAAGGTAGAGCTGGTTTGTTGTCACTTCAATTCTACTTGTTTCTGCTCAGGGCTGGAGGATGTCACTCTTGAGTGACATCTCTGAGGAGGGAGTAAATCAGAAAAGTAATCCTCAGTGGGATTTAGGAAAAAAATATCTCTTCTGTGGAGAAAAAAGAAAAAGTTATTTAGTTCCCCTTTGCAGCATCAGCCCAGTTCTACATACAGTCTCTTTAGCTCAGCCCTCTGCTTTTTATGTCACCTAATGGTTGGTCAAAGGACAGATCTGAATTGCTGTCTGCAGCCAATGGTCCTGCTCCAGTGAGTTCAGTGGCTTAAATGCCTTTTGACTTTAATGTGCTAGGATCATGTCCAACTAGTTCTAAGCACAATCTAACCATAAATGTATTTTTTTGCTTTTTTCATTAGGTGAGAACCAAAGACCATATATTTGATAGTGTGGGTCATCTTATTCAGTATCACATGGAAAATAATTTGCCAATCATCTCCTCTGGAAGTGAAGTGAGCTTGAAGCAGCCTGTAAGGAAAGAAAGTAATATGGGACACATGCAATATCACAAATAATCCCTTGGATCTCACAAATCCCAAAACAATTCATATCTGAAAACTGTACCGAGAACTTTCCACTATGAAGACAATTCAAAAAAATATAGACTGCACTTTCTGCTGCTGTTCCAGAAGAAACCCTTTTGTGTGTGTATGTATGAATATATGTATATGTGTATATCTATGTAGATCTATAGAGATCAACAAGCATAGTTATATAGATACATATAATCTTAATCTTAACGAAATTACACCTTCCGAGTGCGAGATTGATTTGTGAGAAGGTATTTTAGACATGCACAAATGTCACTTTCAAGGTCATACTGAATCAGTAACTATTTAAAAGCACAATTAAAACTCTACATACAAAAGCTCACTTGAATGAACTGCTGGAACATTAGTATGTGCCTTTTAGCATAGAATTATTGGAAACCAATGTTATTTATAATGAATTAGTTTTGGGTGGTTAAACAACATGTCTAAGCTTTTAACTATTTGCCAAAAACAAGTACAATTTGAATATTACTAAAATGTCATCTTCTTTCAATAGACACTAACAATTTCATTTTGCTTGTAACAGCACTTTACTAGCAAGTAATGTTTGAAATGAATAGTGTTCACAATACAGAAAGATTGTCCAGTTTCTTAGTCATTTTTTGTCACTGACTACTCAAAGATTTGAGATTATGAACACTTACAAAGTTGAAATTAATATATGTAACATAATTTTGGAATAGAACTTGTTAAAGGACAAGCATGCTAGATCCTAATATTTTTGTCTTGCATATGATTTTACTATTATTATCAATTAATACTGGAGACATCTTTTTAAAGGTAGACTAAATATATTTTCATTGATTACATAGTTGTTTACAAACTAGAAAAGCTGAACAAAACTAATGATACATTTTGAGAGAAAACTCAAAATGTATTTGAAAGATGTTTGAACTTTGCATGTGTCCTTATTCAGTGTTCTTTCCAAAACAAGATACAGTTTTCCCGTCTCTTCACGTAGAGTCCATTTGTTCCTAAACATGGAAAAAGGTCTTTTAAAGGAAATCTATTAATTGTTTTGCCACAATAAATACTCTAAATATGAACAATCCTACGTTCAGAGTGAACAGTGATTTATTTCGCTTCCTGTTGAAGAAACAGTGATTTAATAAGTAACTGAAGAAAGGCAGGGGAGATTTGGGGAATGAACTGGTAGCCCAGGTGATGGCCTGAGAAAGTTGTGCCTTTAAGATAAACAATGTCCTCTGGCATGAGCAGAGATAATTCTCTCTGTCTCCCAGCCCACCAGCTCAGGTTCCTAAGGCAGACAATTGTTGTGGAGTTCAGCAATTGCTGGAAGATTTGACTATAAAAAATACATTCTGATCTTTTGCCTGTGCTCATGTTAAGTGGGACGCTGTAGTCTGAGCTCTTTCCTCTGGAAAACAGGAGGAGAGGTCATATACAGATAAAATTATTGAAAACAAGCTTCCTTGAAGGGGAAAATATAATGTAAAGAGCCACACTTAGAGCTGACTAGGAAAGATCTTTATTCTTCTTCTCAGCCAATAGCCATAAAATGCATTTCATTCCTTGATAATAACATGACTAGAATACTCAATTACATATACTGAAGAAATTAGAGGTTTTAAAACATTAGCAGTTCAATTCCCTGCTAATAATCTGGAATGTTTGATGCCTTCAGACAGGAAGCCCAAGCTTATGCCTCTTCTATCCTATGCAAGGTGTTCAGAGGTGAAGGCCTCCAGCAGGAGCTCATGGCAAGGATGGCTGGGAAGAAACTGGGACTGGAATATTAAACCCCTGAGTAACAGCCTTTCCGTTCTCACGTCTTACCAGACTTCATAATGTGCTTGACATGACTTTATTGATCAAACAGTGAAGCAAAACCAGCTACTTCTCTGGCATGTCAAGGGGAGAGAAAGACCTGCATAGGGCTGGTTTGATACTTGCATCAAAGCTGAGGTTTGTGACAGGTCATAGAAGGAAGATATGCTGAACTCCGTCTCTATTTTTAGTACAAATCCAAGTTACTCATGACCGGAATAAGAGCATTTGGAGTTATGATAGTATGAGATCAAAGTTGTTTGACTTTGCCAGTCAAGATGCTGACTCAGGGACTTTTTTCACTTCATCAGTTTTCACTTTACCAACGCACAAGAACATCCACAGCCAGCGTGTGATGTTTGGATCACAGGATGGTGCAGTCTGTGTCTCCCTCTTTGAATATCACTAGCTTAAAAAGTTAAAAAGACCCCAATCTCTGTTTTTATGCTCCTGAATCTTTTTTAAGTGTCTGAAGCACAACTTTGAAGGAAAAGAAAGGAAAGGTAGGTAATTGGGTGCCACTGTGATAAACAAGTATCTCAAAATGTCTTGATGTGACAGAAAGCAAAGAATCCAACTAATTACAGATACAAATCAAACACAACACATCCATGCATTATAGACAATTGTTTCCTGGAATAAACTATATTCATTATCAGTTTTTTGTTTTTAACATTTATATGCCTTGAGTTATTAATGCTGTTTTTTTAATTCATGCTGCTCTGTGGAGCAGCCATCTCATGTAAAGCATACTGGCAGATCCTGTGTGGAGCTCTTACAAGTAATTATGCTAAAAAGAAAAAAAAGTTGCCTGAAAGTTTTCCAAAATACTGTTCTTGAGAAATTGAATATGAATTGTCAGACACATTTAGACTCTTTTTTTGTTACTGGTTTCTGAGTCATTTAATGCCTGTCACAATGCTGAGAATTGGTTAATCTGTTCTGATGGCTACTAGAATCCCCCTGGAAAAACCAGATAATTTCGCCTATAATGTTACATTTACAAGGCATAGCGTGTCCATTTTTTCTCAAAGCTCCTACAAATTTCACTGAAAGGCATTAGGTGCTCGCTTCCATCAGTAAAATTGTGACAAGCGACCCGAGAGCCTCCGCTCCCACCGCTCCCCTTCCCTGTCAGGGCTGGAGTGTACAGATGTACAAACTGCAACGAACATCCATTGTCCACAAAACCTTTCGGATTTGGGGTTTATTCTTTATTTTTTCTTCTTCTTTTTTTGTAATGCTTCCTACAGGCAATTCTGTAGAAGAAATCCGTTCTGAGAGAGAAGCTTTTAATTTTTTAGGGAGATTGAGCTCTCGAGGCAGAGCGGGTTCCCCGAGCACCCTATGAAGGCTGCCTGGGGAAGGTGCCGGGCCAGGGGAGGTGCCTGCGATCCCTCAGCGCTATCGTGACACTGTCGTGAGGACGAGCTCGCGGGCGCATGACGTCACTCCGTGGCCGGGCGTTGCTAGGCAACAGCCCTGTCCCACCGCAAGATGGCGCCGCAGAGAGACCCCGCCCCTCTATGAAACAGCCACTGCCATTGGCCGCCTGCTCGGCCAATGAGCTCGCCGGACGCGTTCCCGCGGCCATGCGCGCCTGCTTTCAAACAATCGGCAGGGGCGGGCCCGCGGCGCGCTCCGCCTCCCACCCTCCCGCCCTCCAGCACGGTTGGCCCTCGAGGCTGTCAGTCAACACGGCCGGGCGCGGTTCTGGTCGCCGGTTGGCGCCCGCGGCTGTCAATCATCGCGTCGGGCGCGGGCCGGGTGTGATGCGGAAGCGTGGCCGTGGCTGTGGCGGCCCCGGCGGCGAAGGTGGGTCTGGGAATTGGGCCGCGCTCCGTCGGCCCCGGGGACCCCGCCGGAGGTGCAGCGAGTAACGGCAGCGATGGCCCCGCGCCGCCGCCCTGAGGGGGTTGAGGTGGCGGCGGCTGAGCTCGCCTCGCGCCTCCAGGGCTGCCCCGGCCCGGCCCGGCTCTCCGGGGCTGATCGCGGCTCTCCCGTGCGGCTGCCTCCGCTCCGGAGCTGGGAAGGGCTCCAAGGAAAGGGGAGAGGGCGGGTGGTCGTGTGCGGCTTGTGCGGGGCTGGGGGGCCCTGGTGCCTCAGAGCCCCCTTTGAGGGGTCCCGGGTGTTACAGGGGGTGCACAGACAGGTGCCGGCGTTTAACTCGCAAATTATGCTCCAGTCAAGCTCACTTTATACGAAGTGGAGATTTCAGCAGGTGCTACACCTGTGTGCCCAAAGGAGGATCTTCATCAGGGAGTAAGTTACCCTGCAACCCAATGTGGGCCAGCACTGATAACGCTGCAGCTGAGTGTGAACTCCCTGCTCGGCGTAGAGGAGCCCTCGGGAGTCTCTTCATTAAGCAGTGAAATCTGGAACTGACAGGATACTTTTCAGATTTTCATGGTACTTTTCCATTTTTTCCTCTCGGAGCTATTATCCAAATGCACAAGAAACAGCATACTTTCTGCATTTAATACAAAATATAGTTGTTCTCTAGAAGAAGATGAAGCAAGATGTACCAGGGGACATAACTATCAACATGTATTGAGCTATATATATATTGTGTTTGAAGAAAATAGTGTCTGGCTGTAAGAGAACTTCATTAGTTTAATATGAAAAGCCCAAATAATTGTTTTAAATGCTAAATTCTTAGAAATTTAGTAGGCTTGGGTATACTGAGAAACAAACGTTAAAGTGAATGATACTGATAATGTGCAATGTCTGTTTCAAAAAGGATGTTTTTGCGTGTGTTTGGCTACATAATTAAGGAAGTGAGGGTGGTGCTTTTTGGTTCCTATCCTATTTCACTCACGTGCTGTTTGCCTGTCCTGTGATAGGTTTTGCTGGATACATAGACAACTTGCTGGAAAACAATGTCCCTTGACTTTGATAGTGGAGCTCTACAAACACAACATGAAGATGAAGACTATGACCAAGAAGATTATGCAAGAGAACAAGAGGTGAAAAAGAATAAATAATTAAATCTGAGGGCTTGTGTATTTAGCTTCTTCCTGTTTCTTGTTTTTAAGTGTTTAAAAAGAAAGAAAAATGTTTTGTGTTGTCTTTGGTAAGAGTAAAGAGAGGGCAGACTGTGCCACTCTTATAAAGCATAAAAAGTAAAGAAAATGAGATGCTGCATCTTAAGATCGTATGTAGTGGCTGGAAGGCTTTACTCCTTGCCTATGCAGTAGATCAAATGCAAAAGGCTGGTGTCACCTACATGTCTTATTTCTTGATAGCTTTTTCACTTATTACAAATACTTAGAAAGGAACAATTCTTTCACTTGAAAATTTGACTTGCTTAGAAAAGAATGAGGAGCTATTTCTCAAATTCTGATTATAAATCACATAAGTGTCTGGAAAAATATATTCAAAATTTTGAGATTTCTTTGGAGTTGAAACTTGTTTCTGTTCTTTTTTGTTTCATAAAGCTAGTTGGCAAAACATGTGTTTAACATGAATGTGCATAGTGGTTTTTAGAGGATGGTAAATCACAATCATGTCCCCAGTACACTCCAGGGGAGTGTAGGAAATGTTGAAACAAGTGCTCACAAAAATGTGTTGTAGAACGAGAGCTGTAGAAGTTGGAGAGATGCTCTTGAGAGCACCATAGGGAATCTGATGCCTGTTCCAAAGCTTTCTACCCGGATAAGGAATGCTGTGCTTGTGCAGGAGAATGAATAGTGAAATAACTGTAGGGTTATGACAGTGGGTCAGTGAGACAGTGGATAAATAAGGTTATAAGTTCAGAGTGTTGAGAGGAACATCTTTGCTATACGGAGAGGCTGGGAGACCTGGGACTGTTCAGCCTGGAGAAGAGAAGATTCAGGGACAATCTCATCAATGTGTGTCAACACCTGAAGGGAGACAAAGGAGCCAGGCTCTTTTTAGTGGGGCCCAGTGACAGGACAAGAGGCAAGGGGCACAAAGCAGCCTCTTTGGAACAAGTCAGTGATGATCCTTGTTGGTCATGCACGTTTGAACTGGGGCAGGGTGGGGCTCACAAAGCTACATGTGAATATTTCAGTGGGGTGTGACTTTTAGCCTGGTAAAAGGAGGCTGAAACACAGCTCTGCCGTGTTCCTTGGTGAAGAGCAATCAGAGACTTTGCAATAGTTTAAGTTCTCTGCCACCACAAATCAGGTGGTTCTTGAAAATCGGAGAGATCTTCATGATGGGAGAATACTTTGGCACTAACTTAAGAACTTACCCACATCTGGAGTTCTGTGCTAGCTCACCTGGTAGACTGAGCTCAGTTTAAGTGTTAACTCTCCTGATGAGGTTGTGAACTATGTGTGCACTGCTTTCTCTTGACTTTCAAATTTCTAAAGCAGTGCAAGACCAGCAAAACCTCTGGTGGTCAAGGATCTGCTAGATTCCAAGTGGGGCAAAGGAAAGAGGATCTTCAGTGAATGATATTCACTTTCCTGCTTCCTGGAGCTGAGATATAGTAAATCTAGAGAATACCCTAATGACAGGAAAACTCCTTCTTGCCACTAGTGAATTTCTAGGAAAAAACTTTTGGTGATACTTTGTCCTGTAAACATTTTAAAAAATTATCCTTCTGGCCTATCCTTAGGTCTCAGAGAGCATCTAAAATAGCGTCTGAGAAAACATGGTCTCTTAAAGATAAACCTTTTGTAGATGGTAGTTTTTGTTTTCTGGTTTCTTGTTTGTTTGTTTCAACAAAGAAAACCCAGCAAGGCATGTATCATGGGGCAGCTAATGTTTCTGCTCATGTTAATACATGCTTTGTGAGTTCAGAGAAAAACAGGGTTAGGGTTCAGAAATTGCATGTAAAGTTCTGAATATATTGTGTAGCTCTCAAGGTACCTAATAAAAAAAAGAGAGTGCATAGCTCAGATCTACAAGAAACCCAGTGTGTGGCCCCATATCAAAGCCTCTCTGAAAACTGGTAGAGGTACATTCTGTGTGGGAATCCTTAAAACAAATAAGTTCAGGTGTGTTTTGGTTGTGGTTTTTTTCTTTTTTTCTTTTTTTTTTTTTGTGGCACAACTGTATTTTCTGAATTAGAATTGGTGGTATTTTTCTTTGTTTGTGTCCAGTTTCTTGGTGACTTCACTGAACACATGAGCAGACCACTAATTGTTGCAGTGATGACTTCTTGCACCTAGTAACACTGACTGGCAATTTCTTATCTGGATTTCCATCCAGATTGCTCAGAAAAAGCATGTTTTGAGTGTCCAGTACCTCTCTTGCCTGGGATTTGGAGAGGAGAATACTTGGCATGATTTTTTTTCAGACCATTCTTCACAAGTAGTCTGTCACGGGACAGACTCTTCCTTGGAGAAGAACACCAGGATTTTGTGCAAGTGGCTGTTTGGCCTCTCTCTTTGGACTGAACTTGTATGCATTCTTCTGAAAAGCATATAATGAATGTTGTTTGTTCTGTTTCAGTTGCAACAACTGTTGACAGACCTTCCCCATGATATGCTGGAGGACAGTGGAGACCAGCTCTCCAGCTATTCAGACTGCAGCATTCAGGAGACTGAGCAGCAGTAAGGCATTTGGCACCATGTTTTAATTATTTATGTTGTGGTTTTGAGAACAGAGCAAAATCTCAGTTGATGAGGTGTGTAAAAGCAAGCCAAGTAAAAGGGAAGCTGTAGTGCAGTTTGCAGTAAACTAGATGCCACTTTAAGGAGAGGTGGTTTGCTTTGTTTTTTCCTAAGTTATAAGTAATTTGCTTGTGTTTCTGTAGATCACACGAGCCTGGGAAGCACGATGGGAGGTGGAACGATCATCCATTGATAAGTGATCCTCAAAATGTAAGCTTGCAGGAGCAGTGATGTAATTAGTATGAACTGCTTGTTCATAATAATGTGCTAACTATTGTTTGAATTCGTTAGAGAAATACTTTTCATGTTCTGCTGTTCATTTGATGTGTTTCTAACTTGAGGGCTGGTAACCTCAGAAAAAGGAGGGTGGGGAGAAATCTGAGTTTTGAGAGAGCAATTTTAAACCTCTTATCCGTGTATAGGGCTATGAACAAGGACAAAATATGTACCCTGAACAATTCTTGTGTGACCAGCAAAATGATGACGAGAAGAAACTTTTATATGATGTTAAAGAAGATTACCGTGGCCAGAACGGTCAAGAGGATCCTGATGATGTGTATCTTGGTAGAGATGGGTTTAACTCTCCAAGTTGCTACCAACAGAACAATGTGTATCATCTTCCTGAAAACTTCAGGCCATATACAAGTGGTCATAAACCAGAGTTTAACAATCAGCAAAATAAAATAATAAATTTTCCAGATGCTCCAAAGGAACATCTTAAGGTATGTCAGAAGCTGACATGTTTTTCTATCTCTTGTAAAGTTTTCACAGATCTTTTTTGGTATTAATATTTCTAGATGCTTTCAGTCTCTTACTATCAATTTAAACAGTGATGGGAAGCTTTTGTAGCCTATTTAAAACAATGAAACATTAAATAATTGTATTTTCATATGTTGCCTCCATTGCCTGCTAGAATTCCATGAGGTAGAATGAATGTGATTCACTGAAGTGCTTACATTGAAGTTAACACTTTACCACTTTAGTGTAAGCTTTCATGAAAGATTCTGTCAAGTTTAAATGGTGTGCTGGATTGGAGCCTGAAAATGAAGAGCTACTAGAATTCTTGATGTCAACCTGTAAAATGAAAAATATTTTTCTTGAGCAACGCTACAGGTGTGGTTTTAATTTATTTCTTCTTATCTCTATATTGTCACAACAGCAATTTGTTGCATCCGATGTTGTCAATGGCCAATCACCAGAATCTTACAAAGTGACTTACAAACCATACCAAAATGGCATTCATCAGAATGTTCCAGTAGTCCAAGAAGGAAACAGAAGAAATGAAGTGTTTGAAGATTTGCAACGTGAATTCTTGGCCAATGATGACAGTAAGTGTTTGCTACTTAGACTTGAAATAAACTTGTGTGAAAAGTCCACTGGAAATCAGCAATAGAAAACACGTGGATTTCAGCAGTTTTTCTAGTAAGAAGACAACTAAAAGTATGTTGATGTATATGATCTTTTATATTTAGGAATTGGGTGTTTTTGATCAGGGTTTTTGATTTTCAGGGTATTTGCGTTTCAGGCTGTTAAAAATGTGGTTTTGACTGGTGAGACTGAAAGAAATTATTTCTGATGGCTTCATGTCAAGTCTTGCTGGCACTTTGTCTCTTTTCATAATATTGGAAAATAGTGACTTACTATACCTTAGGAAGCATATTTTCCGTGATGCCACATTGAGCTTTTCTGTCAGGTACACTTCAAATAGCAGAACATTTGTTAAACATCTTGAAAATTTGTAGTGGCCACAAGACAATTCACAGCACATAAACCTTTATCTGGGCTTGCTGTCGGGTTTGAATTGTGTTGGTATTTCCTACTGTTCTTCAGCCATTGCAGCCAGAGCAATTCAGGTGATGTGAATCAAATGTGGGTTAAAAAAATGATGCAACTTTGTGGCCCAGCAATGAATTTAGCACTATAAAAAAAGTGTCTTGGAGCAGGGATGATGATGATGATGATGATGTGCTGTTTGCATGCTATTTGAAATTTGGCAGACTCTTCAGAAAATATGCAGATTCTTCAACTTCAAGTTCTAAATAAAGCAAGAGAAAGACAACTGGAAGAACTTAATGAAAAGCTAGAGAAGAGTGCACAGCAGATTAGGTATTTAAATCATCAGCTTTCGATGGTCAAAGGTAAAATGTTTTGTGCTAATTCTTATATTTTATTCATATCTAGCAACTTTATAATTCTGAAACTTTGATTTAGAAAGTGTCTCTAGGTAGTTATCATGTTTATAAACTTGATTTGGGATTATAGCACCTAACTCACTTCCCCCAAACATTGTTCTAAAGAAAATTCTCTGGATTGGTGCCTGACTGCATAACTGTTTTAACTTTTACTGCATTTTCAGAACCACTGTTGTTTTCCAGAGTCCCCGTGTGTCAGGCATCACAAACATACAGAAAAGAGAAGTTTGCTGAAGTAGTCTGTTAAAACTACAGAAAATTAAAAAAAAATCCCTCAAACCAACACCAGAACACCCAAACTCCAATAGGAGAAGTGTACCTACATGAAAAAATAGATTTGTTTGTGGTGTCTTGTTTAACAAGCCATTTCACAGACTGTACGTAGAGAGAAGCTCTGTGTAGTGGACACTGGTGGTTTCTTAGTCTCCCATTTCTTATAGGAACTGACAAAACCAGTCATGAACTTAAAGAATTAAGAATATAGTTTTTAGAATGCAAAAGGAGCAAAGGAGAGGGAAAACTTCAACTGTCAGCCATTTTGCTGTGTTTTGGCTGTTTCTCCAGAGGACTTGTTTTGTTTCTTCTTTTAAATGATGGCGGATGCCAGGTCCTACTGCTGACAGAATCGGGCTTGTACCTTCAGAACCCTTGTGGAAACAGTACATTGGAGTGCTTCCTGCTACCAGGAGACAGGGGTTGCTGGATGGAAACTAACTGGTTTTGTTCTGTCTTCTGTTGTTGCCCACAGTATGAGACAGAGTGAATGGCTCTGTAGAGCAGATACTGAGCTGTTGTGTTCCATGCAGTGGTTCCGTGGGTGGCTGGCCATATTTCTCACACAGTTGCTATGTCTCTTTATTTAGATGAAAAGGATGGTTTGGCTCTTAGTCTTCATGAGTCTCAGAAACTCTATCAGAATGGAAAAGAACGGGAAATGCATCTTGAAGGTCAAATCAAGGCCCTTGAAACTCAAATCCAGACTCTTACTACCAATGAGGAGCAGGTACTATAAATATTTTCAGACTGTTTATTGTGGAAGACCTTTATTGTTATATGTGTGATGCATTTGCATTAAACAGTAGTGCTCGTTTTTTGGAATGCTGCTCATGATCATTTCAGAAGCTGAATATATAATGAATTAATGGATCCACTGTTGAAAGTAGCTTGTATTAAACCCTGTACATTATCTGAGGACTTTTAGCAACTCTTGCACGAGAAAACCTGAACTGACATACAGAATATTGGAGCAAAAGTAAAACATATGTAACTGGGAGCTACTCTAATACTGTTCCTACAGATGCTGAAGCAATCCAAGGTGGCAGAGGTGGCCATGGAGAGCTTGCAAAAGCAGCTGTTAGAACTTCAGCGATCAGATGCCCTTCAGCGAGCCAGAGAACAACATGAGACTATTGTTTCAGCACTAAAGCAGAAGTATGAAAAGCAAGTACTGTCATTAGAGCAGAAACTTGATACTACAAAATCTGCACTCAGAGAGCAGGTAAGAAATTATTTTAGGATGCTGAGTGTGGTACTGGAGAGGCTGTAGAAATCCCCATGTTTCCTAAACTGCACTTCTTGACCTATAATTCTAATAACTCCTTCTGGAAGCTGCTAAGAAAATGGAAAGTCTCAATATTAGGAAGCCTATGAGATATGTTTTTATAAATATCTCAAGGCAGTTGTGAGTTCAGATTTCATTTTGTACATAGCAGATGCAGAGGAGGCAAGAGTTCGTTGTCTTAGTTGCTCTCCTGAGCTTTTGTTCTGTGCACAGTCTCTTTTTGGAAGAGTACTGCAAGTAACTCTGGGAAAAAAAAGAACTAATTAAAAATTATGTGATATTCTTGTAAGAAAAAACAAGAAAAACTGTTTATTAAACAGTCTTTTGCCAAGATTTGGTCTCAAAGTGATCAAGGATGACTAACCAGTGAACAGTCACTTTATTTTAGAAGTAAGGATTTAAAAGGAGAGAGGGGGGGAAAAGGCTGTCTTTGAGATGGACTTTGATATGGATTGTGTCACATGGTTGTAGAGCATGTCATAAGAATCCATTACACTATTAGACATATTCAAGCAATGTAGTCTAATCAGGCCTTAATTGTCGTCTTATTTCAAATAAAGGAAACAAAATTGAATTTCTGCGATTCTCGTCTCAACATAAATATACATAAAAATAAATGGGATTTACATTTGAAAATGTAACTAGCACTTGCTTCTGAACAAAATGCATTGCTAAATTTTTGTCTATTAGTACCACAACAAAGCTTGCACAACTTTGTCTCTACTGCAAAATATATGGTAGCATATTTGGGTTATTTAAGGAGAGAGTTTTCCTGTTTTTTTGAGAGAAGAGTTAACAAGTATAAAGACAAGGTACTGTGCCTCCCAGGTCTGTGTGGGTAACTAAGTAATGCCATATGAAAGTCTACTTTGTATATCATGTGAAAAAACTACAGTTCCTCTTTTAAAGAGTGCTGGCCCTTGTTAGCTTGGCTTAAGCTCAGTTAAAATAAACTGAGTTAAGCTCAGGCTTAATATAAATAACGTGAAGGTTTGATTTTTCTGCAGTAGACTGACTATATGTGAATAATTACAGGAGATAATCTGATGTGCTGAAAACCAAGTGCTCTAGAAAATATGAAATGGTTCACATCCATGTATGTTTATATGTGAGTACACTTACTGTCTCCTAGTGAAAGCTGAACTTTGATACTGCAAGAAGTGACTTGTCAGCCAAGGATAGCATTTGATCTGTGGTTGATTTAGCTGTTCTCTACCCATTTAGGTGTCAGATTGATTATTTGTCTCCTGTTCTAGATGGCTAGATGTTTGTAATGTGAGTAAAAATGATCTCTCTTTCTAGAAAGAGCTTTGCAAAAATCTAGGAGACCATGTTAAGCAACTTGAAAAAAGGCTGGAAGAAACCAAATGTGAAAAAACAGAAATAATAAATCGACTGACGAGAAGCCTAGAAGAAAGCCAAAAGCAATGTGCAAATTTACTGCAAACAGGTCAGCCTTTCACTCATAGCTTATCTATCCTTGCAGAAATGTCTTTGGTTTTTCTAAGTATGAAATTGCATATCAATGTTCCTATTGAAGTGAAATCAACATTGAAATAAATGTGCACTAGACCATTTCCTCTGCAGTGCCTTAGTCAGATTTAAATAAAGTTTAGTTAAGTCTAGACTGAAATGTAAAAAAACGATCGAAATAAAAGCAAACACCACCTCCAACCCCCAAGCAACAAGATTAAACTCTTTTCCTATATATTTTGTGCTGCATATGTGTAAACTTTGTTTTGTACAAACAACAGCCTTTGGGAACAAGCTGCTTAGTTTTGTGTTAAGGTATTTGACTTGAATTGCCATTCTAAATTCAAATCTTAATGAGAAAAGAATTGTGTTAGGAGCTGGAGGCTGATTCTGGGGAACCTGTATCATTGGACTAGACTGTGAAATATTTTGCCATTTGTGTGTTTGACTTTTGCCTACCTTTACTCATGAAAGTCTTTCTATAGTAATGTCTCTAGTAGCTGTTAGTGAGCTCAAGGAAATAGAAACAGAGTACTCCCTATTGCCAGAATCAACACTGCTATTTTTAACAGAGATCTTTTTGCAGATTGCTTAGTCTTTCTTGCATGTTTACGACTTGGTCTTTCTCTCCTTTCTCTTTCCTGCAACAGGCTCAATGCAGGAGACAAATCAGTTACGGTTTCAGTTGCAACAAGCTCAGTCTGCACACATGATGAGCAATGACATGAACAAGGCTTTGCAGGTTAATTAATTTTATTAAATATTTTACTGTTTTAATTTGATGGGGATGGGCATTGTAGATAAGGGGTTGGTGCTTGAAATACTTTTAATTTGTTGGGGAAACAAGCACATCTCTTTTGACTGCTTCATTTTCCAGTGTTGCATGTTGGACTTCATCCCTGACCCCCCAAGTTAAAACACAGCAAGGCATCTGTATGGGCACACATCTGATCCCCTACATTGGTCTAACCTGCTTTTGGGGGAAAAAAAAAGAATGTAAATTCAGTGTGCTAGGAATTTGGAGATAGTGTATTCTGAAATTTACCTTTTGTCAGCAAAAGGGAATGCTAGAGAGTCTTCTGTAAAATATGAGTGGAAGTCTGTGTTCCCAATTCAATTCATATATTGGATTTAAATCTGCCATTTTGTAAGCTATGAATCCTACTAAGTCCTGGAGCAATAGGCTGTTTTGCCAGCTATGTACTTTTCTGTTGTCATCCATTTTACTATACAAGGGCAGCAGGAAAGCAGAAGTAAGAGCAAAAGAGCAAAAGAAATATGAACTGTGGTAAGAACAATAGGGAATATTTTCTGTTGCTCAGTATATTCTCATTTGTAGTTTTAACATGTGCTTTGCTGGAGGTATCAAAAATGATAGTATAAATAAATGCTAGGTGATTCAACTACATACAGCTATATTTAGAAATAATAGCTCCAAGTATTTGTTTTCTTTGGAAGAATTATCATGGGCCTGATATGTTTTCTTGGAGTCTTTGCTCAGCATAATTTTTTTTCTGACTCTTTCTTTCAGGAAGAATTAATGGAACTGAAGGAAGAAATAGCTTTGTATGAATCTGCTGCCAAGCTTGGAGTATTTTTGAATGATGCAAGTGGAGAGCAGCATATGAACCTGGGTGAATCCTATGTAGATTTGGGAATTAAAAAAACCACTGGGAAGAAACCAAAGTTCTGCAGGTATTGAGTGATTCTTGTAGAAAGAAAATCTAAAATCCTCAAGAAATTATACAAGTGATGTGTAAAAGATGGTCTTACTGGATCAACTACAGGTTTTTGGTAGATACTTGAAATACTGCTTGTATTGCCAGGTAATGTGGGAAACAGAAAACTGAACTAATACCATAAATTGGTTGCCTAATTACGAATTAATAAATCCCTAGATTTTATAGGGACCATGTTACTATTCCTTGAGTTGTATGGATTGTATTCATGGACACCTTTTTTGCTCAGACTCCACATAGTTACTTAAAGCTAAAGTTGTCTTTTACCTTCAGCCAGTTGAGTTGTCTCAAAATACCTCACATGATGTGAGAATGAGTCTTTTGGGGAAACAGCTGAATTAACAAATTCTCTGTAAATTAATTGCAACTTGATAAAAAGCTTTTGTACCCATGTTCTTATTCTTTTTGCTATTGTGTCTTAGACATTTGTATTTCTGGTGGCATTAGTTGCTCTTGTCTTTGCTACAACTACCTTTCAGATAAATGTTTTTTGTCTTTTAAATACTGAACTGGTTATGTCTTCCCTGATAGTGCAATACAGAACAGAGACATGGATAAAGAACTCTCCAAAGATGAAATTATTGTAGAATTAAAAGCTGAGCTGGAACGTTTATTAAACAGTAATAAAATGAAGAGAAACCAGGTTACTCAGTTACAAAATGATCTTAAAGATTGCCAGAAGACACTAGAGGAATACAAACTGAAAGCAGAAAAAGCATCAAAAGAGTCAGAGGTTTGTTCTTTTACACTGTTGTAAAAGTTAAGATATCAGTGGTTTTTGGTGAACAAAACCAGCATTTAAGCTTCTTGTGAGAATGGATCAAAAATTTACCCATAGCTGAGTATCCAGAACGGCTCTTAAGAAAAGTATTGCCACTTGGATGATACCTTGTTTTGTATTGGTTAAGAGGAAAAAGGCTGAATAGCAGAACTTGGGCAGCATATTCATTATTAGGGGAGTTGTGATATCATGACTGTCTTGCTTGATAGCATTTAATGGCCACTCTGCTTTTTTCAGAAGTACATTTCATTGGAGAAAGTAGGTTTTCTTCAGCCAAAAGGACTTGTAATTTCTCAGAGAAAGCTGATAGTACTATTAGTTTATACCAATGGAACATTTCACTGGTTGCCTTCAGAGGGCCTTCACTGTGTAATTTGATCAGCAGGGAATCATCTCCTTGATATTGCATCTCTCTTCACTCCATTACCTCCCTCTATAAGTTGATCAGACCTGTAATATCTGCTTTTGTAATCTATACATTGTGACACGGATGTGGGATAGAATTACAGTGTACTTGAGAGCTGTGCTCTCTGTGGGATGATAGTAGTCATTCATCTTGCAAACACAACATCTCTGAACCTTCATGATACTGAGTTTCAAGGATTCATCCAGAGTAACAGTGATACTGTTATATCTTGCACTGCAATAATTTCTTTCGGTGTGTTTTTTATTTTTTTAAATACAATTTTTATTTAACCACTCTAACTTTTTTAAGCATTAACTTCTAAATCATTTATATCTTGAAAGAGATCCTTATTTTATTTATCTTTAGCCTGTCACAAATCTAACTGATACTTCAGTGGCCAGTCCTTTGGTTTCTGATAATCTAAAGGAAGAAGTTCTGAGACTCAAAAAGGCTAATGAAGCTTTGCTACAGGAAGTTGAGGTAAGAGAGATGCTGCTTATCCCTGCAGAAAAAAACCTCACAAAACTACAGCACAAAAAAACCCTGCCCTGTGCTAAGAGCTCTGATTAGAAAAGGTTCTTATAACCCTTTCTTGTCCAGGCCCATGCTTTGACTATTGAAGAACTGAAGGAAAATGAGGAAAAACTGAAAAGCTTAAATCAAGATCTCTGTTGTCAGATGAGAAAGATGGTTCAAGATTTTGATCATGATAAACAAGAAGCCATTGACAGGTAAGTCTGTTAACTTTGTTTAGTTTAATTAGTGGATTTTTTGCCCGCATGTATAATCTTGTTCCAGCTCTCAGGTACAGGAGGAGGTTTATGTTGGAAAGGTATTTTCTTAAGGAGAAGTTGAACCCCATTTTAAAATGGGGGAAGAAAACTAGATAGTTATTTTCCTTTCTTGAAATTGTAGATGTGAAAGAACTTACCAGCAACATCATGAAGATACAAAGGCACATTTTGAGAAAGACCTGATGGAGAGGTTTGCTGTGGAGAAGCAGCAGCTTATTCAGATCTATGAAGAGACAATCTCACAGTTAAAGTAAGGCTTACCATTTTTTCCACTTTTACTGAAACCTGCACGTTTCCTGTCTGGCCTTCAGTGATAGTGACACTTATTTTAAAATTGGCTTGCTGTCCTGTCAATGTAAAGTCCAATTGATAATAAATAATCTGTCCTGTGAAGGGCTAATATAGAGGAGCTGAACAAAGAGATGACTGCAGTGAAGGAATGTTACATTGGAGTCTGTGGGGAGAAGGACACCTTGGAAGCTACTTTAAGGAAGAAGTTTGAACAAGAGCAGCAGTTGAAGGAAGAAAAGGTACAAATGGAAACACCTATAAACCATATAATCTAACCAACCTCTGATATAACATCTTAAAACATCTCCTTTTGACAGGCGAATCTCTTGTTTAGGTATCATCAGTAAGATCAGGGCACAGGCTCTAGAGAGTTACATGTTTCATGCATTCTCATCATTTTGTACCAGAGCAGTTGCTATGCCTTGGAGAATGCTTCATGTATTTTTTATTTTTGGTCTAGCTCAAGAAACAGGTAGTAGAAGAAAAAGAAGTCTCTGTTAAACTTCTGAGGAGTGAGTTTGAAGACAAACACAACAAGGCAATGATAGCAGCAAAGAGGAAGTGGCTGGAAGAACAAGAACAGCAGGTTGAAGAGAAAGTTGCATTAGCTAAAGTTCACTGGGAGAAGGAAGAAAAAGAGGTATGGAACTCAGATCAGGGAATTTCAATTTTTTTGTTGTTGTTTATGTTCAGAAACAGAACTTGTATGTAGATTTATGTGCTGTTATTCTGCCATTTGAAGTGGCTATTTAGGATCTGTCATTTTAAGAGCCTCGGAAGAAGTCATTAAGTACTATACATTTAAGATTTTGATTTAAAAAACCCTAGATCTTGTAAACTAACAAGCAGAATATCCTGAATGTCACAGCTGGTAATATGTTAGAGTTTTCCACCCTCATCCTTGGAGAGTGGTTACACATTCTATTGTTTAATTCAATTATCAGAAGTCCTTTGTGTCTCCTATCCCATAGAAGAAAGCTGTGATGAGTCACCAGACTCTCTTCTTTCTGTGCATGGTTTTGTTCTTCTCCTGTTAGGGAAGATTATTGGTGTAAACAGTTTTGTTTGTTAAACACCAGTGAAATTCTATTTATTTGGACATGGTGGGGGAGATTTTCTTAAAAAATGTTTTTTTCCTTAGAATAAAGAACAAGTCTTTGCAAAAATAGAAAGAGAATGGCAAAGTAGGCTGGAAGAAATGAGAAGAACTGTAGTTGAATGTAATGACTGCAGCTGCCAAACTGACCAAGTAACAGCTGTGGATGACGTTCCAGCTAAAGAGTTAGAAGGGACTGTTGAAGACCAGAGGCTGCAGATCCAGAAGGCTCAGAGAGAAAATACGGCCTCTGAAGAGGCCTTAAAAGAATTTGAATTAGAACTGGAAAATAAATACTGTAAAAATCTTGCCAGCCAGGTAACAAATAATTGTTCTGTCTGCCTGGAGCCTGTGAAACTTCTGTGTGCAACTAAGTCACCTAAAAAAAAGAAATTGGTCTCTCCCACTAACTTCCTCTTAAGCTCAGTAGTTGATATTTGCTATATTAGAAGTACAGTTTTAAAAAAGTTCTGAACAAGCTGTAGCATGTTGCTTGTTTTTCGTACTGTTGAACAAGTTTTACAGGAATTTTGAGCAGAACTGAGCAACACTGACTTAGATTTTAAATAACTTTGTTAAAAATAAATTTTATATTCATAATTCTTGCATCAAGAAATGCATCAGATGCTGCTGGTCCAATTATTTTAATTTCTGTAAACAAAGGCAATTCAAACTGAAGTCTCTTCTTGCACTGTTACACGAAACTAATAATAAAAATGTGTTCAGTGGTGGTGACTGAAGTAGGTTTCTTGTCTGTTTAAAGGTAGATGCAGCTTTAACCCAAGCTCGTGCCAAGTGGCTGCAAGAATTAACAGACCTCAAAGAGTACAAACTAAATCTAAAGATAGAACAAGAAAAATGGGAAAAAGAACACCAAGAGACCACAGCAAAGCAGGTAGCCCAAAATATTTGTGTACTGATAAACAGTTCAGTCTTCCAAATCCCATATGTTACTGAGGAATGAATGTAGACACAGGCAGGAAATCATTAAGGAAAGATGTTTCTTGTGCACTCTGGTCCATATCCATTTTTTTGCCTATAAAGGTTTAATTTTTATTAAATAACTTGAAAATATCTCCAATAGATTGATAATGACTCAGAGTTATATTTTGTGTATCTGTAAATGTGTGTATATATTTACAATGACTGTTATGTATTTGCCAGTTAGCCCTAGTTCTCTCAGCTGCTGAGGAGAAATGGAAGAAGGAACATGAGAGTACAGAGAGATCTGGACCAAGAGTGAAAGAACTTGAAGAAAAGATAATTTCTCTCAGGAAGGAATTGGAGCTAAAGAAAGAAGAAATCCCTGCAGCCATCAAAGCAGAACTAGCAAAGGCCCGTGCACAGTGGAACAAAGAAAAGCAAGAGGAAATCCTGCAGATACAAGAGCAAAATGAGAGAGACTACAGATCCTTCTTGGATGATCACAGAAACAGGATTAAAGAGGTACTTGCAACAGCAAGGGAGGATCTTGCAAAGCAGAAGAATGATCTCTCCATTCAGAAAGAAGCAGAAATAAAGATGTTACTAGACCAAAAGCAGCAAGAATGGGAGGCTCAGGAAGCCAAGAGACTGCAGGATGAAGTTAATCGCTATGAGGAGAAGACTCTGGTTGAGCTTGAGTATCTGTTGAGTGAACTTCATGAAGAACTAGTCAAGTGCACAGATAGTCAGCATTCTTTGAAGGACAAGTGTTTTGACTCTCATGTTCAATTAAACAGTCAGTGCAAAGACAAACTGAAGGCCTGCTTACAGAAGGCCTATAGGACCACAGTTTGCACAATTCTGGAAAAGAAAGAGCGAGAATGGAAAGAGGTAATATTTCTGTAAACTGTAACTGCCAATCAGAGAAGGGATTTGACAAGTCACTTGGGCCTGTTTTCTCCTAACGTGGAATATCCATGTAATCCTGAGAGAAAGAAATTCAACATTTGTGTTCACTGATAAACAGGAGTCCTTTAGAAGTCAAAGAAGGCTAAATCTACTATTAGCAAGTGAAAAGGGAAAGGATAAGTGTAGCTTTGATGTCTTTAATCTTTCAAGAAGAGAAGAACAAGTTAGGAGTGTCATTTATGCAGAGACTCATAAGTTAAGATGAATCCACCCTCTTAAGTTTGGGAGCCTGTTGAAGGCTCCTTGTGACCTCTTAGATGGGCTGTAATGACAGAACTGTCCTCGGATTTTTGCATAGCTGCAAAATCCAGTTTTTAGTGGTGATTGGATAGTGATTGGATAGATCATGTTTTATGCCTTTTTTCCCCTTCTTCTTATGCAAATAAGGATGGAAACAGTAAATCCTTTTTTTGTAGTTGGTCAGTTTGTCAGTTATTCAGTTCTGTCTTGGGAATTATAGTCTTGCTTAATTTTATTGTGGCTCTAGGAAATCCATTTCAGCATGCCTGCCCAAATGAGGAAGGATGTCCCACCCTTTTCTAGAGGAGTTTGGGGCTAAGTCAGATTCTGTCAAAAAGCATTTGTTTCTGTTGTTTTAGCAGATTACTCTTCTTGCAATACTTATGCTTGTAGTAAGTTTTTTTTTTTTATGGGGAGCATCCTACCGGAAATGCCATTGCTTCCCAGCATTTAAGAGCTGGGAAATTATCCAAGAATAGGACAGAGAAAATGTCTTGTTTCTCAAGACAAGGTGGGATGAGGGAAAATAACTATGTAGTGATTTCTCATGGCAATTACACCATTTTTTTTAGTGACAGTGTATTTCTGTTCAGAAAGTGGGCCTTTAATGTTTTCTTGTCACAAGTCATATTCACAATGGTAAAGAGAATAGGAAGCTTTTTTCTTAAGTCTGGTACATCTTCTGTAATGGATATGAATGTGTCCTGGTAAACTGTTTAATATGCCTTTGGATCTCAAAACCTTGACTGGCTTGAACCACTTTATCTAGTGAAGTCTCTGTAATTTCTTAGTAATGTCTTCTCTCTTTTTAAAAAGCAGGTTAACTTCAATTACTCAAAGGCACAGTATAATTCTTCAATGTTAAGAGCTACTCACATTTCCAGATAAATACTCAAGGTATTCATGTGCTGCTGTTGCAGTGATGTACACTAAGTAAACTTCTATATCATAGAATAGTTATTTTCCTCACAACTTGAGCTGCAACCTACAGTTCTATTGCAGGTTTAAAGTACCTGTTTTAAAATGAGTAAAGCCACTTGGTGGCCAGGAGTGGTTGTTTTTAAGCATAACATACTGCTTACCTACTTTAAGATGGAGTGGAACACTTTTTACTATGTGTTGGGTTTTCAGAAAGTGTTTTTCAATTGCAGAAGTATGAAGAGTTAGTGACTAATGCAAATAAAGAATCATACCCTTACCTGCAACACGGTGCAGGAGACACTGGGGACACGGCCAGAACTCCTTTGTGCAGTGTTGGACACCAAGCAGAAGCACAAAGGAGATTAAGAAGACGGACACCCTTGCAGGAAACTGGAACAGAGAAAGGTATTTGCTTTGATCTTAATCTGGCAAATTGTGTATTATCAAATTAAGCTTATTAATAGCAGTCTTTAATAGTCAATGGCCTATTGATGACCCCAATGCAAAGTTAGTTAATTAGTGAATATTATTATTAGCTCATATACAAGCCAGTGTTGATCATGGCGAGCAGGGTCTAAACTGTCTCATAAATGAGTAATGCAAAATCAGAGCTTCAAAGATTGAATTATATTACTTGCTCTTGACATTAACCAAGACAAGGAATTCTGCATTCATGTGAAAGGTATTATTGTGTCAAGAATTATATTTCACCTGGCATGGTAGTCTGTAGTCTTTTCTGGTTCTTTTGATCAAGAATGTAGTTGAAAAAATGTGAATCCTCAGGTGATATTTCTCTCTTTCCCCCCTTCCTTCTTCTCTTACTGTCCTCCCCAGTATATACTTTAGTACTGTAGCTCTTCCTAAAGCTGGCACATGTACTGTGGCAAAGCTGGAGACAGTGTAGATGGGAAAAGCTTCATGGGAGGGACAGAAATCTCCTTGGGGCTTTCTGTTTAGTTTGAGTTCTTACACAACTGAAAAACATAAAGCAAGAAAACCCAAGAGAGTCTTTGGCTTTATGCCTGTAGTGTGGCTTGGATTCCTTTAACACCAAAATAACAAACCATCTATTAACACAGAACAATACAAGCACTGCAGTGCTCCTGTCTCTAGAGCGCCCTGTCCTGGCTGTGGAGAGCAGCCGTCGCTCTCCTGGAAGGAGCCCAGTCTTTGTGTATTCCTTAACTAGACTCAGATGCGTATGAGGCTTTCCAGCTGGGACAGTTTCCTTCAGCTGACTTCAAAAGACCCTGCTTGGCTGTTGGTTAAAAAAAAATAAGTAAAAAATTCAAAAACATTCAACCTACAAGTCTCATTGCTGACTGAAGAACTCAAACTGATGGGAGTGCTTTGAGGCTGTGAGGGCTTTATGAGCAGATAGATGCTGCTGGACCTTCTGTAACAGGGTTCCAGCATCTTGTGATTTGTTTAACTGGACTAAAGTGTTAAGTTGTCCAGCAAGAGGAGGACTAAGTAGAGGACTGGAAAGATGTTGGGCTTGATTCTTTTCTTTTTGGTCCCCTGTTGATGTATAATTTTTAGCAGTTACTGTTGCAAGTGAGAAATGTACAAAAAGGAGTCTTGGGTCTCAGGAAGATTTTTGCTGTGAACACTGCTGCCAGGAGCTTGAAAAAAGGGAGGCCATGTGCCAGGACTTGAAAAGAGAGCTGGAGATGGCCCACAAACATCTTCAGCTTGCTGTGAAGCAACATGAGACTAAGTCAGAGCATATCCAAGGTTAGGATGGTTAGTCACCTAAAGACAGCCTTGATTCTCTTGTCTGTTGCATTGCACACTTTTGAGTGAATACTGGCTTTTGATTATTAGCCTTAAACCAAAAAAACCCTGCATCAAACCAACAAAACCAAACAAGCTTTATCTTCTATCTCTCCACCTCAAAGGCGGCACAATTGCTAACCTACAAATTAATACTCTTTTCCAATGTTTATCAAGACAAACCTTGTTATTTTTTTTATCCAGTCTGTTCTCTTCACATACACTTGGTATCTCAGAAGTTTTGCCTCCAGCATAGTGTTAGTAATGGCATATGAAGACTTTAAGTTTATTTAATTACCATATGAGATGCCTTTTGTATTCAGACTTCATTGAAGTGCATTGGGATGGATTCCTGTCTGCTTGTTACTGCAACAGCTGTATGTGCTGATGATGCTCTGTGACATTGAGCTCTTATACCAGAGAGAGCAGTTTATGTAATAACTTCTGTTGAACTCCAGTTTAGAGAAGTGCAGTGAATTATGGTTCACCTCCTTTTTTTTTTTAATAGAAAATGAGAAGGCTCTAATTACAGAAGACTCTGAGATGAAGACTACATTGAATGACCAGGGGTTACCACCAAGGTATTTTAAAAAAGCTAAACAAGACGATTTTTTTTTTTGTAAGATGTGAGTTGCTTTTTTTATGCAGTGTGACTTATATGCATTTCAGGACACTGTCAAAGGGAGGCGTCTCAAAACCTTGTGCATCCTCTGACTCTGTGAAAGGTCTGGAAGAAATGCGTGCTCACTACATCAAAGCTGTGAGCAAGATTAAGTGTAAGTACTGAAGTCTTAGCTAAAAAGTTAGTGGAGGAATATAATTTACCTTGTTGTTTCCTCCTTCAGCCAGCTTGGACAAGAATCTGACAGCCGAATCACATGAGAAGTAAATTTTTCCTTCTTACTAGACTGAATGGGAGAAATGGAATTGTTGCCATAATATTTGACATGGAATTGTTGCCATAATATTTGACATATCATTGCAATGAGTGAAGCCTTGTTATGCCATCCTTGCTTTGTTGCACTGAATTATGGCTTTTAAAGTGTATTTTGAAACTGATCTTGTTTCTCCAGATAAAAAAAATCTACCTGACCTGCAGTTTGTCCTGAGAGAGAATCTGCTTTTCTCTCTTGCTGTATCTTGCCTTCTGGCTTAATCAGAAACCTTCTAGCTGAGGAGAGAGAATTAAATGTAGCACCAGCTCTTACTTGAGTACAGCAGGTCCCCAAATTCCAACTGCACTGCCTCTGAAGAATTTCTAGACCAATATTTTACCAGCCAACATTCCTCCCAAATCCCTATGCCTAGTGTTTTCTATTCTTTCTTAAGATGCAGAATCAGACCAGACAACTGAATTCCTTTGTGATGCATCATATTAACCTGCTGTGATCTGCACTGGTGTTTATCCAGTAGGCAGCAAGGATTTGGGTGGAATGTTGGCAGGTAAATCCATGCCCTTGCTGACTTGTTTCAGATCTGCTAGACAATCCCAGTTTGTGGTGTTGGCCTTTTTCCCCACTCTGGGGGAAAACTGGTACTCATGAAGTGTGTTTGTAGGCGATATGCTTTGTTACATCCGTGAAAGCAAGGAACGAGCTGCCGAGATGATTAAAGTGGAGGTTCTGAGAGAGCGCCAAGAGACAGCACGGAAAATGCGCAAATACTATTTGACATGTCTTCAACAGCTCCTGACTGACAACGGGAAACATGAAGGGTGAGTTCAAATCCATTTGGAAGTTACTGTTGGCTTTGCAAGAGATGTGTAGATGTTAGTCAGGTGTTTGTCCACCTTGGAGCAAACAGTGCCCAACCTGAAGTCTTGCCAGTCTGTGCACACTGGCATGGGGTCACTGCTGAGCTGCCTGGCACACTGTCTCTTCAGAATTTGCTGACTCTCAGTAACATTACCTTGAAGTAAAATGCAGAGTTGAAAAAGAATTACCCTAAAACTTGGTCTTTTTTTTTCCCCGTGTTCTGCACTTCTTGACAGAGCTGAAAAGAAAATAATAAATGCTGCCAGCAAACTGGCTACAATGGCTAAGGGACTTGAAACACCTCTTCGACACATTCCCCAGGGCAAATCGACCCGCTCAGGTATTCTACAGTTGTTCTCTTCTTGATATTGATTTCACACACATAGTAATGAAAGTCAGATGCAGATGGAAAGTGAAGTACAATTTATTTATAAGCTAGCTAATGTTGTAAATATAAGCTGCTTATTTTGACAACGCTTATGATTCTCTATTAAAAACAAACAAAAACGTTACCTTCAATTAATCTACTTCCTTCCTTCCTCTTCCAGCTCTGCATTTAGTTTCTGAGCCTGGAGCTGAGTGCTCCAAAAGAGATCGTGTGCTTCGGATCAGGTCAAACCATATGGAAAGCAAATCATGTGGTGAAAGCAGTACTGAGACAGCCAGTGATAAAGTTGTCCAGAAGCGTGTGCCACGTGACTTGAGACAGCAGTTTGATGCAACACAGACCGTAACTCAACATATGCTTCGTGAAACAGTGACTGCGGGTGTTCAGAATAATTCTAAAAGTCTGGATGGTGCTTCTAGAGGTGCTCTACCAGAGTTTTATCCAAATGAAGATGGAAGAAGAGAAAAATATGGCCCTATTGTAAATGTAGACAAAGGACCTTTGCATGCTGCGAGTAATACAGCGCATCAGAATGCTCCTCCATCTGCTCGTCAGGGAACATTAGAACATATGCAGGAACCCAGAGTTACAAATGGCCACACCAGCTCTGGGCCAGCTCATCACATGCTTAAGGGCAAGAATGGAAGAACAGTCTCAAAAGAGGATAAATATATCCAATCATGTGGAAAATGGAAAACTAAGTCTAAGAGAACTCAGGAATTTAATTTTAAAGACACTCCAGGAAGAGATGAAGGAAGCAGCAGTGAATGGAGTTCTGGGAATGGAAGCCTGTATCTGGATTGTGGTGATTTGCCTCTCTTGTATCCTCAACAAAAAGCCAGTAGTAATGTTCAAGCACAGACTGTATATTGTGAAGAGTTTCCTCACATCAGGTCATCTTCCCCTGCAGATGAAAACGTTACTTCTTGGAGAGACATTTCTAGTGGCAATGGCAAGTTTCTCAGCACATAAAGCAGCACAAAACTTTACAATAGAGACCAGCAGATAACAAACACAGAGCATGCTTCAATCCTCAACTCTGACAAATCAAATTCTGCTGTCCCACAACCCAAAGCATCATCAGATTCAGATGGAGGAAAATGCTGCAACAAATGCTTGGAGAAAAATGGTGTGGGATCCCAAGTCTCATCAGCAAGATAATGATTTTTAATAGTCCACTTTCTAACTTGAACTGATACCATAAATTCCTTGTTTGAAGGAAAAGAAGATTAACTTGATGTTTAAATAAAAGTGTGAGAATTGAGGAAAATCTGTTCTACTGTGTCCATTTCATGATCTTGAATGTTACGTGAACAAATTTTATCAAGTTACTTGAAATATTAATACAGACTTTTGTTTACCTTTGTAATAACACTTTCATAGTTGTTTATAGTGTATTATACACAAATTTATTAAACAGAATCTATTTTTATATTCAGTTTAGCTTGCAGTGCAGTGTTTATCTAAAACAAAGCTACTGTAACTTGTGGTAATTTTATTAATGGTTATCAAAATTCCTTCAAAGCGTAATGAGAGATGTTTTGGGATTTGTTTGAAGTCAGTATTTTAATTGAGTTTTCCATTCTGAAGGACCCCCTGTAAGCCTTTGTTTGTGTTCCCACAATGAAAGCAAAAATACTTGCATTTTTTCATTAAATTAGTATAACAAACCACATTTCAAATATTCTTCCCTTTGGAAGCAAAAAATAGCTTAAATTGGGCAGAAGAAAAGTACCAGTTAGAATGACCACGTTTTGCAGGTGTTTCTTCAACAGCAGCGTTTATCAGGGTAAGCTAAAGATATCATCATGTTCCTCCTGAGGCTTAGAAAGCTCCTATTTTAAAGGCCTGCTCACATTTGAAAGAGAATTGAAAAATGTATCCTTTTTCCTGGACTTTTTGCTTTCCTTGGGATGACATTTCATTTCTAGTGATCCTGTGAGGAGCAGAGGTGTTTTGCTGCTGGCTTACACAGTAGGTGATTAAATCTTGTTGCAATTAATAGTATGGTTATGAGTCAGCAATTCAAATCAACAGTAATATGGCAAATGTAAGCAAAAAGGTTTTGCTTGCTATCCTGTGATATCAGAATAAGAAAAAATACTGAATATTGTCTCAAAGATTATATATGTGCCTTTCATATGTAACATTTAACTGCTGTAAGGTTGCTTATTTGGTCTTTTGGAGTTGAACATCACAGTTTAGTCTGAGAATCTTTTCAGTTTTAAGAGGCAAATAGTACAGAATCTGAAGAAAAATGTGTTTAGCTTCTCTTACAAAAAGGCTTGTTTGTATTTCAGGCCAACTGGCAAGGCAGAAGGCATTGCAGCTCTTGGTACGCAGGGCTGGCTTGTGACTTGAAACTCTCAGGCGATCTAATGAGAGACTTCTGAATTTCTTGGTGGCCTTTAATGTTGCCCATAAATCCAACCCCACTTCCTCTTTGGTGAGGTGGGGTTTGTCATCATCAGTGGGAGCAAACTGAGGCCATGAGAGACCGCTTGTGCCTAAACAAACATGGGCAGTGGTTAAGTTCAAGGGCCAAATTCCGAGCTCTTAGCTGAGGAAATAGCTGTGGCCTTGTCTGCAAGGGAAAGTTTTTACTAGTTGTCCTCTAAGCCCCGTGTGGAGGTTTGTTTTTTTTTTTCCTTTCCAGTGATGAGTGGCTTTTTCTGTTTAGCTTAAACATTTTCCCAAATTCCACAAGGTAAAAAGAGGCACATTTATTCCTGTGTGAGAGGTACCTGTACAAGTGTTTAAGCCAATAGATCAGATTAATTCACTCCTTGGGCTAGTTCAGAAACCTTCCCAGATGAAGACTGGATCTGTAAAGCTAAACATCCTTCTGTCCTGTAGGACGACATCCCTGACCTTCCAGACAGCAGCTGAGGGCCCGTCATCTCATTGCTGTGGACCAAATGCAACTTTTACAAATGATCCTTCATCTGAGGCAGGTTCAAGAGCTTCTCTGTAGTTGGTTCCCAAAACGCCACACTTAGTGACAATGTGCAAACTGCTTTTAAAAATTCAAAAATGTAACTTTTCACAGCACATTTTGTCGTATTGTTCAGTGTTGTTCATGTGCATAACTTACTGTCCATTTCCACAGCTTTTAACAAATTCCCTGTGTTAAAAAAAGCTCAATGATTTCAGTGCAGAATGAAGTGCTTAATGATACTAGTCTTGCTAAAACTTTGAACAGCTGATGATTTTTACATATTTAATTTAGAAGCTGGGGCCACACTGATGAGGAGAGATCTTCCACATTACTGACCATTCTGCAGAAAGCTGAGGGTGCAGCAGATCCCAGCTCCAGGGAGGAAACTAGGGGAGTTTTCTTCAGCCGGCTCTGCAGCCTGATGTGAGAAAAGGTTCTCTTTTTCTCTTTTGGAGCAGGGAGATGTTATGCAGGTGCAGCAAAAATGGGGTGGGTGGGTGGAATCTTTCAGAAAGTGGTTTTTAAAAGGGAGGATATTTAAATGTGGACATGGGGTGCCCAGGTAAATTTGGTTGCTGTCTCAGTTGTATCATATCACACCACAGTACCAGGCAACTTTGGTGACCAAAATTGCAATGTATGTGAGAATGTGGCTGTAGGTTAAATCCTTGCTCACCTAATGTTTACTGTGTGTCTTGTTGCACTGGCAACTCCAGAGAGCTCCAGAGCTGCCAAGGGGATTTTAAGTTTTCCTTAATGAAAATCATCTGCAGAGGCCTAGAGGAAAGATCCATACCCAAAACATCAGCATTCATTCCCTGGTGAGTAAAGCTGAAGGTACAAGACGATACCTAACCCAAGAATCAACACCTCTTAGTCAAAAGTGTTCCTCAGCCCTCCTCCTTCCAACATCAGTAAGAAGGAATGGAGCAGTAACACACTAGGATAGGGGGTGGCAGCTCCTGAAATTGGACAGCTGACACTAGTCAGAAAGGGGGATGGAATGTTGCAATACGTGTGGTTGGACTTGTATAGTTGAGCCAAGATTGTAAGAGTCACTAAATGAATCTCTTAAGTCTACCATGTATTTTCACCCAGTAGGTTATATGGCTGAAAGAACTTAGCTGCTTTATTCAAGAACTGATTACCTGCTGTTACGTCTTTTTGGTTCAAATGATTCCTTTTTGAATACTGTGTTTATGCAGTAGGAGCCAGATCAAATTTTACTGTAGTGATGTTACAGTTCAGCACTATTTAGCTTAAACTTTGTTTAATGACACCCCCAAAGTAGCAGAATGCAGTGGTCCTCTTTCTAGCTGTATTTTTGTTTTTTATATTTTCTTTAGCTGATTTTATCTTGCAAGTATAGTATAGGACAGCAAATGATAAACAGGAAAAAAGGTTAGATCCAACAATCTTGATCCTACCATGCCTGATAGTTTTCAGTCTGGTTCAGCAGGTTGTCTGTTCTGCAGGATTACTACCATCTTTGCAAAATACCCTATCACCTTGTGAAAGCCTTTCAAGACTGCTGTCATTTAATTCAAATATCCCTGTGGATACGCAACTAGGAAGAGCTCTGGCTTGCTTGCATTCCCAGGCTTTCCTTAACACCTTTGGAATTTCATACCTTCTTACCCCCTTACCACTTCTTTTACTTTGTAGTTGGTACTTTCCCCTGAGGTTTGGAGGTCTACCTACTACTGTATAGTGTCCCTTTTCCCATAAAACCTCAAGCTGGGTACACTTCACAGAAGTATAGAGATACACAGCCACATATATATATTTCAGTCATTCATCCTTAAAACTTGCTGTCAAAGCCATTCTTCTGCTGTTGGAACTCTGTTCTCATGTTTCCCTTTGTTCTGTGGGAGTTGCTAAGATTTCCCATTGAAATTTATTTTGCTCTTTTGTGCAGATTCAGTCCTGTCTCCCACAGTGTGGATGGCTTACAATGGAGGCGGTGGTAACCTGGCAGTGATACAGGAGCACATTGCTTGCAGCTGTAGTGAGATTTCACCCAGCATTCTGATGCAGAGTACTTCACACTTCCAAATTAATCATGTTTCTCTCTGTTCTTGTTGCTTGGGTAAATATTTCACTGTTGTGTAGACTTGGGCAGTGATCTATGTGAGAACCAATGTTTTTAATTTCCTTCTTGAACAGGCTTACCTACCAAGCAAGCTTTTAAGCCCGATGCCTTTTTCACACTTGATAAAATGAGTCTGTTTCCATCATGTAGCATTGCTTCTTTATAAATCTGAATACAAGTAAAGAAATTCATGTCTATTGCCAAATGTTCTGGCTGAATGCCATCCCTGGTGTTCTGGCTTCATCCAGATGACGAATGTTCCCTGTCAGCCTGCAGCCTAGTGAGAGGGGACAATGGTACAGAAATACTGTAATTATCTAATCAACTTTGCTTAGAATGTTAAGCAAATGCAATTCTTTAATACTCTGGCTTTACTATAGCTGTTAATTACCATGTGCAAATGCAATTTGTACAGCAAAACCAAGTAGAGGAAACATTCACTTTTAAGTTACTTTACTCCCCTCTAGTGGTCTTATACCACACGTACATTTATGTAACACTTCCATCACCGTACATTTAAAGACAGTGTTAGTATTCTGTAAAAACTAGAAGTCTACTGGTAACTTCTCCTTCCTTCTGCTCATCTTCTCTTTCTATGGAGAAACCAATTCAGTGACTGGGATTCTCGCCAGTGTAACTCTCTAAGTGAACTTGTTCTTTATATATTGACTTTAAAGGCCAAACTTCACCCACAGCTTTAAAATCAGTACGTGCAGAAAAATCTCAAAGCTATGTACCAAACGTTTATTTTCTGTGCCCTCAAAGGTGTTCACAAGGGGTGTTGGTGTGAATGTCATAGTGACCTAGACTGCAGCCAAGGCTGTAGAAACACCAGCAGAGCCCAGTCACATCTGCAGTGTTGCTGTATGTTCTCTGGCACGTGCCAGTTTTGGTGAGTGTCTAACTCTGTTTGAGTCTGTGGAAGTTGTGGGACATATGGAGTCTGTCAAATGACTTGCCAGTTGGCCATTTTGTGTACTCTGCAGCTTTCATAGGTGGAAAACAGGCAAGACCCTACAGGATTGGAATGGAAACTTCTATTTTTCCAGTATTTCCCTGGTTCTTTGCTCAAGTTACTGATGTTGTAATCAACACTATCCAGGTGTGCGGCACAGGCTTCATTTAGCAATAGTTAATGGGTAAGTTCTTGGCTAAATTTTTCTTTGCTTCCTGGAGTCTGTATTTTAAAGGTTTTGAAATTACTTGCTAATGCCATGTCTTGGAGAAGACAGGGTAACCCATAGGATGTTTTCTGCTCAGACAGAGTGTATTAAGAAAAATGTAGATGGAGAATTCACTTTTCAGAAGCTAGTTGCTTTTTTCAAACTACCCACTAGTAACTTTTCCATTTTCTTCTAGAATGGTTTGGACTAATGTTTCAAAGAAAAGAAAGGGGAATAAAAGGAGTACGGAGTCAATAAAGAAAATGTTGACAATTTTCCATTTGAAAAAATACAGTTCTCCTAAAATACTTCACAAAATTGTGTTTTTCTTCATATTTAGTTATGGAA